CAGTCRTGGAAGGGGCTTTCCATTGACTCTTTGATATCGAAAAGACAGTCACGATTATAAGTCCTTATTGCACTCACGCAAACGCTGTCCATCAGAGTTGATATGACAGCAAACATAAGCAGAAAAATGGCAAAAAAGCGGCATTTTAACAGGCGAGCGGCAGCCTGAACACACACAGGCGCCATCTTGTCAGCTCTACCAACCTAGTGTGCTTTTTCTAAATGCCATCCAGGTTGTTATCAATTAAAATAAGAATATTCTTTAACCAGACTATTTATTTATAAAATTAGGTCTGACCTGAATGAAAAGATGCTGACAAACTGTCCACCTCTGAATAAGGATGATGTAATTAATCCAAACCCGTCTTGTAATTATGAAAACCTTCAAAGTTAGTATTCAGAATCCAGCTCACAGGAAGTGGAGAAAAGGCAGATTTCAATAATGCAGCAGAAGACGGTTTAACTGTGACAATGCAAGCTGTCTGCTGGGACTCGGCACAAAGACGCTCGTAGAAAACTTAATCACTTTTCTAGTTTTGGATTCAGGACACCTCAGGGTACCAGCTGTGCCGAATCAACCCCGCATCATCTGCAGGATGACGGGCTCCTGCCGCGCCTGCTTCACAGTTAAATATTGATTGGAAGAAGAAGACAGCTCTTTGGAACGCCTCGGGGTGGAAACGACCTTCGACTCGGGGAAAACAAAGCCACTCTCTGGAGTAAAAACCTGCTAATCACACATAAGCAGCTGTGATTAGCGGTTAGATCTCTGGTCCTCTTACAGTCGTTGAGCTGCTGTAAACCTGAGCTATGTGTCCCAGGATAAAGATGATTTATATATCGCAGACAACCAGAGAAAACAGTTGTAGGATGTGTAGGTTTGAAGGGGTTATTATTCATCTGCATGTCGGTGGGACTGAAAGCAGCAATGTATCTCTGAGGTATGATTAATTTACGTGGGCTACGTCAGAGGACCAGTGTAGCCTATTTTTCAGCTTCACAACTAAACTGAAGGTTTTACTGCAATTGATGAAGTAGAGCCACACATACAAAAAAGCCTTTAATATTCCAGAGAACAAAGCATGTGTGTGAAGAAAGAAAGGAAGAGAAAACAAACAATAACAGTATTTACCTACCTGGATGTGAAATCATTAACGCTTCCGTTTATTTATCTTTGGTAAAGATGAATAATCCTTTTACATGATTCAGCTTTTAATAAACAGCTGCTCTGAAACTCACTACAGCCACGCTTTAATGCTGCTGTTACAGGGCTGAGATTTTAATTAGATTTGTGCCTTTTGCATCATTTGTTCAGATTGTGTGGTTACAGCTTAAACAGGTTTAGAGTTTTAACATCAAAACATGATGAGATGTGATTTATTTTTCTTGCCCAAAACATGAAAAAGGTTATAAAGTTTTTGAGACAGTTTAATAAAGTTATAACACATTGCAACTAGCAAAAGGGCTATGTATTGGCAAGAATTTGGTGATACGATACATATCATGACGGAGGGGTCACGATACGATAAATCCCGATATATTGCGATTTTTTTAATCCAAAATTTCTATTAAATAAAAACCTCTTACAGGGGAAAAAATGAAAAACCAAAATTCATTGTCTCAGAAAATTCTAATATTACAGAGACATACTTTTGATACATTTAGCTGTGTTCTGCTTTGTATGTATTTTATTTTATTTGTTTCATATTTCTTATTTCATCCATGTTTTCAATTATTAGACTAAATTTGACAATAAATAGTTTGAAAATATATTTTTTGCAGCTTTTAGTTTTTAATATTAATTTACAATATGGTCACCCAACACTTAACAATAGCCTCTACATCAAGAGGTAGAGGAGCCAAATGTCTGGCTCACTGCTGCCAACTAGTGGTCAGAGGCTGAACTACAACATAAAAATGAACGGCTGGCAGGAAAGTTGACATTTTAAACCTTAAAAAAAAATCGATACAGGGCTTTAGAATATCGATACAGTATCGAGAAATGAAATATCGTGATATTTCAGTGTATCGATATTTTCTTACATCCCTAACTAGCAATGCAAACAATTAATCCACTTACGATTAATTGTGGAATAATGGTTTATTGGATTAAAATTTAGACGGACCAGAAGGACACGCCCTCTCTGAGATTCTGTAAAGACTTCAAACTTTAAAACAGGTTGTAAATTGTGTTGTTAGGACAAGTAAAACTGGAGTTATGAGGAATAATAAACATCAACACCATTTTTTTCTTAACATGACATCCAATATCATGCGTGTCACATCCAGGGGCGGAGCCAGAGGGGTGGCCAGGGTGGCAAGTGACACCTAGTTGGCCACCCCTAAATAACTGACAAGTGGGTGGGGTTCTTTGATTTTGTATTTGCATTTAGATTTTGTTAAAGAACTTTTTCTGATCCAACTGTACTGTTTACATTCTCAGCAGAAAAATTAGCATTAGTGGTTAGCTTAACATTATTGCATTAGCATCTGCATTCGGAATGTGTTCATTCTTAGCTACTCCACAACTAATTTAAGTCTTAAAATAGCTGAATTATTGCTCTTTAAAGTTAGCTGTGGCAGCCATTTTGAATTTTTGATTAACGTTTAGAATTTTGTAAAGATTGTTTTCGGCTACGTCTACACTTATCTTCAGTTTTGTACATCTAAAAGTAATAAATTCAGCATCTTTAGCTATGATCACATGAAATTGTAATATTTCTTAAAACAGCTGAATTAAAGCCATTTGGAATTAGCTAACAAAAAAATAAATCCCCACCCTCGAAAAAACCCCTGTGGCACCCCTTGTAAAAAAAATCTAGCTCCGCCTCTGGTCACATCGCATCCTAAAAACACAAACCACCACCATCTTTTATCTGACCGAGGCCCAAAGTTATTTGTCAATCAGCAAAAAAATCTACAGGAGGAAGAAAATAAAACAACGTGAAAGTTGAGTGAAGTTTGGTGGCGATGACGAGACAGCGAGAGCAGGAAACCATAGTTAAATTTGTAATATTCGAAGTGTTTGAACTTTAGAGTCAAACCTTATTATATTTTATAAATATGTTAAGTTTAATAATGTGAAAAATCCACAGTTTTTTGTTTATTCAGTCAGTATTTATACAGCTGGAACAATAAACTGTTAAAATATAACTATGTGCTTCTTTTCAGCACATTATATAAAGATTAGGCCTTCATATGGAGAGACTCAGGTTTTTATCAATTATTCGTTACTCGATCGATAAGATCAATGAATTTTAGATTAATTCATTAATCAATAATTTGCCTCCCCAGCTGCAACTAAAAACCCACTGACGTAATCTTAAATCTTAAACATATTTTAAATGTTGGGAGCAGCCGGTATGAATAAACTGCCTTTTCTGTTTACTTGACTGCAGTTAACAGATAAAGTCTGGTCAGTTTGAGAAGCTGCTAAAACCTGTTCAGAAGGTCGACCAGACAACGTCTTCGACCTGAACGAGTCAATGAACTGTGGTCTCAGTAGCTGCAAATGCACAGTTGAACAATAATTGCCTTTCAATCCCCTGGCTACCTCTCTCAAGCTTTAAAAAAAAAGCCTTGACCAAACAGTAACTGTGTTTCTCTGCAGTTTGGTTAAATTCAAGAGGTTTTGTTGTGTGCTCCTCTGAAGGCTCGGACAAACAATCCGTCAGAGCAGGAAACAGGTCTGCTGAGCAGACAATGTTTCTGCTGCAACGCTGGTGTAGAAGAACAGGAGCAAACAGTTTAGTTCAGTTTGAGGGAGTTTCACTCAGAATTATCTAAAGTAGACAAACTGCATTTCTTCAAAAACGCTAGTGTCAAGGCATATTGCTGAAAACTTCGGCTGAAAGCTGCTGAAATAGAGCTGAAAACGTTTAACAGCAAAAGAGTTAATGCCAGTTTCATTTGAAAAGAAGAGAGAAAAAAGTTTAAATATGCAGAAAAAAGCTTAATAGACCAAAATGTGCATTTAGCTTGGAAAAAGACACATTTAGCAACAGCTAAACAGTGCCTAAAGTTGCAAAAAGTAGCTAAAATTGGTATAATGCAAAAGCAAGAAGTATATAAAACTTAAATTGGTAGTAAGAAGCAGAAAGAAGTACAAAAAAGGAGCTGAAAAAGAACCAAAATATAGCTGAAATAGTAGAAAAAAGCTAAAACTGGCAGAAAAACAAGCTAAAAGTAGTAGAAACAAGTTGAAACACATATTTCTATTCTACTTTTTCTTTTTCTTCTTTCCTATAGTAGACTAAAAAAAGTCATTGATGATGCAGAAATTAAGAAACTAACTTTCAGTTTTGTTTTCTACTAAAGTGGCTAAAAAAAGAAAAAAGAAAAAATACACAGACAGTGAAAGAGGTGTAAAACAGTCAAAAAAACGAAATAAAAGGACAAAAAAAAAACAAATTGGAAAACAGCTATAACAGCCAAAATGTAACCAAAGTGCTGAAATTAGCAGAAAGTGCACACGTTTGCAAAAAGAAGCTAAAACGGCCACCGAAATTTTAATTTAGCTTGAAAAAACTAATTTTAGCTTTTAACAGCTAGAAAGCAACTGAAAAGCTGAAAGAAGTGAAAATACAAATTAGCAGATGAACAGCAAAAAGAGCAGAATTTTAGCTGAAACAGCAGAAACAGGCTATAATTATCAGAAAAGTATTAGGAATCAGAAGAAGGAAGTCGAAACAGAGCTGAACCGTAACTTAAAGAAGCTGAAAACGGCTGCATTCATTTTTAATGGGAAATATGTGGCCGAAAAAGTCAAACAGCTAAAACCAAAATACCAAAAGTCAGAGCTGGAATGTCCTGGAGGAGCTGAACGTTTTGATATAGAAACTGTTGAAATATGAACATGTGGGGTATAGATGAGGTCCAAAAAAGAAGAAAACAAACGATCTGAATAATGAGAATGTTTGTGAAGCTTTTCGACCATTCATGGTTCTGTTTTAGTGTCTTTAAAGGAAAGGCTCAAACATCTGTTCACATCTGCACACAGACCTGTAGCCAGCAGGGGCTGGTAATGGTTGATGTTCTTGGTGGTGAGGGGTGGACACATGCGGATGGCGAACGGGGGCAGCGGCAGACCGGACAGCAGCCCAGTGAGCAGGAACTTCAGCTGCACCTCCTGCTGGGTGGAGGATTGAGGAGCCGTCTCGCCAGCAATCAAGCTTTGACCTGGATAAATCATAAAAAACTGGTAAAGATAAAATATAACACAATAAAACACGATGTCTGTCTGCTTTCCTTTTCTCATTTCACACTGGTAGGAGGGCAATTTCCTTCCTTTCAACCCAGAGGGATTCAATAAGAAATAAAATTACAGTCTATGTTTACCCAGTTACAAACACACACGTTTGATGTGATGGATCAGATTTATGTTTACAGTCCCTGATGCAAATTCTTCAGTAATGGATATGTGTTGATAAAAACAATCCGATTTAATAAGAACACATTATTCCCGGCTGGTGAAACAGGAGAATATGACTGGTGTCACTGCTTTAGTTTAATGGCACATCTCAAACTGCTCTGCTGTTATTGTTTGTGTGGGAAGCAGCCTGACTTTGGAAATGTTTTGGGGCAATAAAATAAGGATTTTATTGTACATTTAAAAAAAATCTGTGTGAGTATTTGAACCAAAGCAACAAGCTAAAAATCAAAACACAAACTAATAAATCAAACCCCAGCACATAACCGGCCACTAAAACAAATTTCACCTCAATACCTGCAAAACTGACTGAGTTAAAGTTGTTTTTCTGTTTGTTAAGGAACTTAAAGTACCTGTGACATCATATTTTCATAATAAATATGAAAACCCTTTTGGAAAGTTAACATTAAAAACACATTGCAAACAAAAAATCAAGCTGCTGAGATGAACAGTGGCTGAGATATTAGCATGTTCAGTAACAGGAAGTGATGTCAAAGAGGAATGTTGGCATGTAAACAGAGCGTTGTTACAATAACAACACAGACTGTGGAGAAGGATCTGATGTTTCTGTAGATTATTTTGAGTTTCTATCAGAGTTAGAATAACATTGTTTTAATGAAGAAAAACCAGGAAGTTAATTTTCTTATAAATCCCCTTTGATGTCACTTCCTGTTTCTCTTTAGCTGAGCCAAATTCAAAAGAAAATATGCAATTATGTGACAAAATGGGTAAAATCACGTGTTTTATGTAAAGTTTCTTAAATATAACAATGTTTTCTTTGGGGTATGGATGTCACAGACACACAACGGGTGATACAGAAGGATAAGATTAAGAAACTAGAAAATTTCTGAAGAAATTGAAAAGGGGCTTGCCCAAGTGTGCCTAACTTGGAACCAAAACTTGGCCTAGGAAAACCAGAAACCCCTAAGAACTGCCTAAAATCAAAATCTCTTCAGAGGTTAACAAAGGTCATCAATATCCGGTTAAATTTATTTAATTAATGTGTTAAAGTCCATAAACATGTCATTAGATCAGTGTAGTAATTAYATACACTTATTTTTATCTTTGTTATGAAGGATATTTTATTTCACAAACAAATAAAGCAGATTCCTTTCAACTAGTAAACATTTTTAACATTCACTAGTTACCATTTAATTATTATGAAGCATGGAGTCATAAGCTAATGTTAGCTGTTTGTGTGCCAAGTTACCAGCAGTATTAATGTACAACTTTTAGTAATAAACTAGATACTGCACTCTTATTTTGAAAATCCAAACGGGTTACATCCGGTTCGAATTGCGTCGGAAAACGAACTATAAATAGTAAATACACTTCTTGTAGCACATTATTGTGCAGCGGTAACATTCTCTACAGTGTAAACAAACGTAGCAGAAACATAAACAAAAAAAATCACAATTCTTCAGAAATATGACACGTTTTAACCCCAAGGATGGCGCAGGTTAGGCTAAAGGCTAATCAACAGTAATAAAGTAGATATTGCACTCTTATTTTGAAAATCCAAACAGGTTACATCCAGTTCAAATTGCGTTGGCCAGGACTGCGCCCTCTGCTGGTTCGGATGTCCGAAAAATGGGACTTGTGGCGGCGGGCAGTTTTTAGTTAATTTCTCAGCAATAGTAATTCGAATCAAAAAGATGTTCTTCTCCACTCCAAGATGGTCATTTTGATGTGACTGTTGTAGGGGTACATGCTACGGTTCGAGCCGCATTAAAAGTGGTGGAAGAAGAATAAAGAAATAAAAATAAAAAAAGACTAGGTGTAGAGAAATGGATTTGCCACTGCATGGCAAGCCCCAATAAAAACTTTTTTTTTTAAAGTGAAGCCTGAAACTGAGCAAGGATGCTCAAACTGTGGAACCATGTTGGTATGTGTGGTGCCTGAGGCCAGAATAATAAAAACGTAAAAAGTCCTGATGCACACTGTGACACACAAACACAAAACTGCCCTTCACTCCAGGGAACTCAACACTTCTTTGATTTAAAATAACTAAATCCATTTTATGAAGCGTATTGTCTAAGAGTGGGGGGCCTCTTCTCAGGAATGCACAGACGTGTTATGTATCTTGGTTCTCCAGCTTCAGAGCTCGGCACATATTACCATATATTAGGAAGAGGAATGCTTAAGGTATACCGTGACAAAATTTATGATGCCTYGGTTGAACTACACTGTGCAACCTATAAAGAGGCTTGTACGCCCCTGCTCTTGGCCTTCTTACTTCATCTTTCTTACTTGGTGAATCATTTGGCTTGGAGGCCATAATTTGGTTTTTGGCTGTAATCTCCTGGACTGCAAAATAAAGATTCCTGCTGTTCAACCAGCCTGTTTCAGAGTTTCTCTCTTCATTGAGCAGCAGCAGTTCCGCAGAACCAGAAGRCGTGGTTTTTACACCTCAGAAGTTTTTTGCTTCAACAATAAGCACACTTTTTTTTGCCTTAAAAGCTTTTCTTTAGATATAAAAGATGTTAATGATTGTGACGTGTGCAGTCGTACCGATCATGCTGTTCAGACTGAGATCCTGAATCCTTTTCTGGTTTGGACCCAAAGGAGCTCCACAAAAAGCCACGGGGGAGTAGAGAGGCGACAGACCCGAACTGGCACAAAAACAGAGACAAGAACATTCATCTAAATCATTTCCTCTGCAAGGTACAGATCTGTTTCTGCAACCAAGACAGTGGGGAGTAATAAATGAATATTGCTCGCAGAAATGATGAATGTAATCTGCTTTTTAATAATTTACACACGGCTAAAGCAATATTCTTACAGGATGATGTGTGTGTTTACGGCTTGCTTTGATTAAATGTTGCTTAATATGAAGCAAAAAGGATTATTAGGGGAAAAAATGTTTTTGACCAGTTTGGAAAAAAAAAAACATTTCTGGTGGGTTTTGTTTTGGTGTAAGATTAAATTCGGAATTCTGAGATTAAAGTGAGATTTCAGTGGTCCTAATCCTCTTTTGTAGTTTTGACACAAACTAAAATACTAATTTACATTTTTGATTGGAAGCTGTAATAATTTATCAAATATAAATAAAAGATTCATTGCACCTATAGGAAGGCTAAAAGTAGTTTTTATTTTAATTTTAGGTCTTTTAAAGCCCCTCCTGTTTCCTTGTGTTGCAGAAACCCTCCAGATTGGCCCTCTCTGTGTGTTTTTGTACCTGGGATTGGCAGCAGCACGTCCAGTGTGGGCTTTCAGCTCCCAGAGCATGGCTCTGCCGTCGCTGACCATCAGCGCAGCTTTGTTTTCATTCACAGGACAAATAACCATGCGGTACGGCCGCACCGTCTTGGTGACACGGATGGCGTCGCACTGGGAGCGCAGGTCGTACACCAGCTCCTGGATGTTCTGTTCTGGGTCTGAAAGAGCAGAGGGCTTTTAGAGAACCAGACAGGAAATAGGAAGATGGGGAAATATAAAAGTAAATTAGTGGGTAGGAGACATAAAAGGACGTGCTGAGATAAAAGAAAAGGATATTACAAGAAGAGCATTAACTGAAGGGAATAAAAAGATTCACTGAACTCCAAGTAGCTTCAAACGCTAAGTGAAAGATAAACAAGACAGAAAAGGAATAAATGCCCAGTGGAGCAGAGAAAGTAGAGAAGCAGAGAGCCGTGCAGTTTTAGTTGGACAGCTGATGAATGGGAGGTGGCACACGGCTCAGGCTCAGTGTGAGCAGAGAACCAGTGGCACGAGCCTACTGGGAGAAAGTCCGTTCCCACTTTCATACCTGCTGCCTCCTCTGGAGCCGACGTGGAGCGACACACTCGGAGCGTGATGCAGCCGTTTTCATGGAGACAGTAGAGGGCGTCTCGCTGAGCGCAGGGAATCACCTGAACAGAGGGAGGGAACGTGTGAGCAGGATCCTGATGCAGTCTGTCACATTAGTTAACATTCATGCTGCCTGGAGGACATCTAAATCACCTCATTTACATAAACATACTGAAAAATACTCCTTACTGTCAGTTTCTTTCTGACCAAGTGGTTCTGATTTGATGAGGGGTCTCTGGTCCAGTTTGTTCATCAGACAGATGAAGCCCCCTCGAGTCACTGTACTCGTGTCTTTAGCCAAATAATGAGCAATGGCCTCCGTTACTTCTTTGTACCACTTCAGTGTTTTCTCACAAGGAGTTGCACTGCTGGACTGTTGCTCTGTTACCTGTGTTTGTATTCAGCGGTGGGCAAAGTTAAACTTAACCGCTAATCCGTTAATAACCATCATCATCATCAACAACTTTATTTATAAAGCACTTAACACCAGCCACAGCTGAAAATAACATCAGCAAAAAATAAAAATAAAAAAGAAGATAAAAACTGATAAAAACACTAAAATGAAGTAAAATCAAGTCTCAGTTGGGCTGAAGGCCAATGAGTAAAAGTGAGTCTTCAGATGGGTCTTAAAAATGGACAATGGCTGTGTCCAAAACGACAGGCCGGGTCCTCCGGAGGACCCAGACTACCCGGTCGAGGCGGGCCGGGTCCTTGGTAGACCAGGAAGACCGGAAAAAAAGAGGCTGTGAATTTGGACGGTCTAGCCTGCCCTCCTTACCCCAGCGTACGTCATGTCACCTAGCAACTGTGACGACGCTAAACAAGCAAACTTAAATCAAAACTAGAAAAATATCAATATATTAGCATTATTAATATCACAAAACTATAAAATTAACTTAAAGGTATCATTTGAAGAACTAATTGACCCGCTGTAGGTTCATGTTTATTTCGCGTTTTTTATGACAAAAAATAATATTTTAAAACATGTCCATACAAATGATAAAAGTATTAGAATTACAACCGCTAAATTTTTTAAATTTTTAAATCACCATATTTTTATTTAAAACGTATTCTTTTCTCTCGCTTCGTCCGCCATTACTAGCATAAAAAAATCTCCGGTGGGGCCGCAATGCATTATGGGATATGCTGGGCCGGGAAGGATCCATCAGACCTGTCCTTCGATTCGGGCCAAAGGAAGGACGTATTTGTCRGCCGCATCGGAGGAGTCTTCGGTTTTGGACGTCCTTCGTCGCGGCGCTGTGACGTATGCAGTTGACGAATTCGGCCTTCGGAGGACCCAGCCTGCCGTTTTGGACACAGCCAATGAGGGTCTTGTCGGCCTTGATTCTCATTTAGCGAATTAGCTTTCTTTTGTTAATTTTGCAAACAGTTAGCAAACCGATTAGCTTCCGCTAAATTAGGTTTTGCTAATTTTAGGACTAGTAAAATTCACGTCATGGCAATCTGTCCACAAGTTTTTGAGTAATGYTGTCCACAGGCAGGCCGACAGACAGACATACGCGACCGAAAACATTACCTYGCCGTTGACGGAGGTAATAAGAGACGTGCTGGGTTTTTTGGTCACTAACATTTTCCTCTCTTATCTTGCGCTCAGCCATTGCGACTAAGTTTTCTCAGTTGTTTGCTATCCACCCACGTCTACGTAAGGGGCRGGTAAAGAGATCCATTCGATTGGCCAAATCCGTGAAGGGTTCAATTTCATTGGTCACACCCTTTGAGCCTCAGTGTGAGTTGTAAAACATATAAATGCGAACATTTGAGCCGACCGTTTATCGCAGTTTAAGCAGTTTTTTGCGCTGGCTATTGTTGCGATAAGAATAAATTTTCGATACAATGTGCAGCCCTACCCTCACTTGTTTTTTGTTTTACATTAACTTCAGCAGTCTCAGTCAGTTGAGACCCAAGTTAAAACTACAAAACTCAGCAGTAAAATCTTATATTTAGTTTTCATATAATCAGCATGAGAAGTACGGTACAGGCGTTGCACAAGATAAACTGGCAACTGCACTTTGTGTTTGAGCCAATTTGGACCGCAGAGCTTCTACACATCGGAGTGGACTTTTGCTAAACCGTTTCATCAGTCATGCAAATTGGACGCTGTGACAAGCACTCTATAATACTTAAAAAGAAGGGAGGTGTGACCGGACAGACTGAGAGGCTGAGTAATGCCCACAGCTTTTTTTCTGCACAACAAAAGGTTCATTTCTCCACTTTTTGTCTGTTCAACAATGAAAACGTTTATCAGAACAAAATCCTGCACAGCCTAAAGGAGCTATAATTCATAAATAAACAAAAATATAAAGAAAATGTAATTTCCCACATGCTGCACTGTTCAACTGAGCAGTGATCGACTTTGTGCTGGTCCATTTATATATGATTAGGGATAAAATGAGAAAACATTGTTGTAAAAATGATATTATTGCATAAATACATTAGGGGAAACAGTAAGATCTAGATAAGCCACAACAGTGAGTCTTCTCACAGTTGGACGCACAAGGAAAGCAAAGTAAACAGAGCAAAAACTACATTTTCTCTGCCTTTATTGGTTTTGTGGCTCTATGAAAGACCCCCAGAGCATTCATCAATTTCCAATTAGACATCTAATCTTTAAAAGATGATAACTGGAACCTAAAGGTCAACACTGTCACTGTGACCAYGAGAAAAAAGAAAAAAGAAAACTAGAAGTCAGACAAGATAAATGATGGCGAGATAATTTGCTGTAGTTTAAAAGTAGCCAGCCTCGCCGTGCAGTCGTGACACCAGCATGAGGCGGACATTAAAGGAGCGAGGAAGAAAAACAGAGAACTTAATCATTAACGGCAGACTGAATTGACTTCTTGGAGGAATCATCCATAAGAAAATATTAAGGTAAAGCTTACATGAGTAATGCAATAAAACAAAGAGCTGGGCATTGAGTTCATTTGAGGGGAAAGAGAGAATGGAGACAGAGCTTCGACTCGAGCTTCGAACGTCACTTCCTAACCCTAACCGGACCAGAACCACATCTAGTGTAAATTAGGGGTTACTCATCCAACCAGTCATTTAGCTCAGAGATTCTTCATCCAAACTCGCCCAACTGAGGGCCTCAAAAGAACAACAGTTTTTAACTTTGGGCCGCAGAGGGCAGCAGGACCTCATTGATTCAGAATAAGGTGCAATACACTTTCTCACCACTAGTAGTGGTAGTGYGCCGCTCAGATGTTTAACAACTTTTTAATACATGGAAACTGACAAACATCCCAACCCTGGTATAAAGTAAAATGATCCATTTATTCCACCCCAACAACGAAATAGAAAACACAACCTGAACTACGGTTAAATCCTAACCAGGTCAGCTGTGTGTATTCTTTTAAGGCCTTGGAAATGAGGTTTTGTAATTTCCTAAATGCTTTATTCTGGCAGCTTTCTCCCCGATCCCAGATGCAGTTCTTACCTGGATGAACGGCACCCCGGAGCGCTCGATGGCCACCACGCCCACGGTCTGGCTGAGTTCCAGGTCCAGGATTAAGATCTCTCTGGGATAAAGCAGCAGCATGTGGTTCCTTTTGGACGGCAGGTAGGAGAGCTGCAGACAGTCGTTCAGCGTGACGGCCTCCGCTCTGCAGCGGGAAATAAAACTAACATTTTATTATTTTATTACCAATTAGTTTTTAAAAATGGAAACCTTCAACACAAACACCACATTCGAGTTAAAGGGAACAGCAGATCAGAATAAAGACTGAAAACAAACAACAAACGCGAATGAAATATGAAAATATGTACATCAATGTGACGCCGGAGCTGAAAGATATGAAACAACTTTACTGTTTAATTTATGAGATCAGCGTAATATTTATTCATGTGTTTCCCTGTGATGGCTGGGAAATCCAGTTATTGTTGAGCTTTAAAGGGAGCCGGCTCTAATAACCACACGGCAGATGAATTAAGCAGTTATTGAAATAAGATTTTGATTCTTATTTTGAGAGTTTTCATATGTAAAGCTGATGTTTGCTTCATTGAGAGCGTTATCGCTCCACCAGCTGCCAGGTTCCAGGTCTGCACGTGACGAGAAATCAGCCAAACGCTTCAAGACGTTCCTTCGACAYGATATAAAAGGAGTGTATTTTCAGAAAATCTCTGAGCCGGTCCAGGGCCGTAACCCACTGCAGGGAACTTGATTTTCTGCTTTGTTATGGTGAGATTGAACAGAGAGAAGTAAACTTTATAACACAGTGAAGGTCATTACCTTCTGGGGAGAGATAACAGATAACGTGGAGTGAAGAGAAAAGCCTTTAGGAGTTACTGAGCTGAATCACAGTGAAGTGTTACCTGCTTACTGCAGTTTATGGGGGGAGAAATACGAGCTAAACGCCCCAGTCACTGGAGGAGAAACAGAAAGCAGAGGTAGGCCTGTCGCGATAGTCAATAAATCAATTAATTCCACGACAAGTTATTTTGAGGTTGGTAAAAAAAATGGAGGACGTTAAGTTTCATTTTCCTGCTTGTTTGTTTACTTCGTCTCTCTCCCTCTCTGTGCTCCGCTGCACAGGAGCTCAGCTGACTCCTCCCCTCCTGTTTTCTTAGTGTGGGAGGAGTGAATTCTCGCGTTAATGTGAGAGCTCGTAGCAATAACATACTAAAGAAACGTTTCAAAGCAGAACGCGGCTGCTGCAGTGTCGGAGCACTAGAGCCTGAATTTCGCTGCGGGAAGACACAGAGAGAGGAGGAGAGAGGAGGAGAAGGGGTGGGGGGTGAAACTCCCCCAGACCCGCGACAAACTCGTCAAGACTTTACCTGTAGCTCCCAAAAATACCAGGAAACTTAAACGCACCATCTGTGTTTTAACAAAACACCCAAAACACCTGTAGCTGTCCCAACAACTTGAGGAAAACTCTGAACTGTCTGATTTCCTCCCCGCAGCGCTCTGACTGTCCCCTCCTCACACACACACACACATAGACACGTTTGTTCTTCTATCCTCATGGGGACTTTGCATTGACTTTCATTCRTTTACCAGTATTTTCTATTACCATTTGACCCTAAACCTAGCCTTAAACTTTACATRGGATGTGAACTGGGCTTATGTCCCCATAAGAAACAGTGGGTCCTCACCAGGCTGTGTAGTTTGCTTCATCTCTAAAGACATGCTGCACTTTAATATTGTTTATTTACTGTCTTAGTTTTGTGTGGTGTTTAATTTACATTTTGTTGTTCTTTGATTTTTTTTATTCAAGTGCATTTTTTGTTAGAGACAGAGTCCACTTTGTTAAACATTCTTTAAAAATTAAAGTTTATTGATTTATTACACTTACATATTACGCTTTTATAATTATTAGTTGTAAAATGGTCACCAGGCAATATTATCACTTATCGCAATAATTTTTGAGACAATTCATCGCCCAGCAAAATTTGTTATGGTGACAAGCCTAAGCAGAGGAGAGCTCGAGAAAAGAGATCAGAAACAATTAGACTTTTAGTGTCAATTTAACATGGAGCGTACATTTTTATTCCTCCGCCCACTGGGCTGGAGGCTCCACCCACTGGGGTTGGAGGCTCCACCCACTGGGGCTGGAGGCTCCACYCACTGGGGCTGGAATCATACCAGTTGATGATTTGGCATCCTCTGCTGATAAATCTCATATACAATATCCTCGATTTCCAGAATTATTTATTGGGAACTCAGATCCATTCCTTAGTATTAAAACAAAAACAAAAAAACATTTTAGAGAAATAATACAAAAGAGTACTATTAGTAAACCTGCTTCTATGTTTTATTGGAATAATCTGTATGTTCATGTAGATTGGGAAAAGACATGGATACCGCCTAAAAAATTATTTGTCTCGAATAAGGTTTGGGAAGTATCTTTTAAAATCCTACACAGATGTTATCCTACAAACTCAGCTCTGGCTAAATATATTCCAAATATTGATCCACTTTGTTCCTTTTGTCATCTTGAAAATGAAACATTAACCCATCTTTTCTGGGACTGCACGATTAGTAAAACCTTTTGGTGTGACCTTAATTGGTTTTTTCATAGTAAATTTGATATTCCTGTTAAACTGAATGTAAAACATGTTTTATTTGGTGTCTGATATCAGAATGTCTGGGATAAAATATRTCATGAACTTTCTCATACTATTGGCTAAATTCCACATTCATGCCAGCAATTTAGCAAAACAAAAAAACCCAAGCTCACTGTTTTAGGGCCTATCTGAACTGTTTTTTGGACTCACTGAAACTCTGCACTAATTTGAAAGCTATAAAACTAAAAAAATTTTGTGAAGAATTTAAGTTACAGAAGATAAAATAAGTAAGTCAGACTTCAGTCGTAGCTGTGAGGAAATACGTCAACTTCAGGTAAAATCTGAGACGTTAAAGCAGAAGAGACGAYGAGCACAGCTGTCAAAATGTCAACGTTTGGGCTTTTAACGTGGTAAGAACTGACTTTTTTTCCCCAAAATAACTCTCTGACTTACATGTTGCTCTTTATAGGATACAGCAGGTAAAATAAGTATTGAACACGTCACCATTTTTCTCAGTAAATATATTACTGGAGGTGTTAATGACATGAAATTTTCACCAGATGTTGGTAACAACCCAAGTGATCCATACATACAAAGAAATCAAACCATAAATGTCCAGAAACGAAGTTATTTGTAATAATGTGGAATGGCACAGGGAAAAAAGTATTAAACACATGAAGAAAGTTGTTTCAAAGAAAACAATAAGTAATGCAC